TTACCTCTTTGGTATAGAACTGATTTTCTGGAGTGAAGTCTTTGTGGAGACTCTGGACTGACGCTGTGGCAGAACTTTTTAATGAATGAAGCACGTTGATGAGGGGCAACACCATCTGAAAGACATGGGATTTTAATCTTAGCACATAATAGTAGTATAACTATTTGCAGTTACACCATAGGCAGGTAGTGAATTTATATGTCCATCCTTCTAAACAGTTATTACACCGGTGTTATTTAGGTACACAGTGCTAGTGCTGACAGGCGGACACATGCTGTTTAACACCCTATACGTGCCTGACTGTTATGTAATCCCAGCTACTTACATGCACGCTAAGTTTGCCATGGTATGTTGTGGTATATGATATGGGAGACTTTAAACATGTCTGTGATTTGCTCTAAGAGACAAACTTTACATATCGTGACGTAAACATGGGCTGATTACGGAACAATCCTCCTAGAACTATTGGTACTTGTCAATGCTAGCTCGTGTTAGCATCAACAGTTAAACGTATGTCACTGTCAATAACACACAATCTAAAGTAGCGGCCTTATATTAAACCTAACAGAAAGACACGGAAAACCACAATGAAGCATCATAAATAAAATAAACTTAATCTTAAATCCAAATAAGAAACACTAATTAACTGTAACACAACGGGTTCACAGTGCTTAAGGTTACCTGCTGGGGTTGAAACGATGTAGACAGCGAAAACATGTTTGAAAATGGATCGACCTTGTTTAAATTGCGGATAAAAGATGACAAGTTCCTCTATGTAACACCAGCCACTTCTCCCGTTTTCGGTGTCCTCTTATTTACCCTGTTAAATAACTTTCTGTATGTTAGCTAACCACCTAATGGACTCTCCGGCTTCTAAGGTCATGTGGACTACAAATTGACGTAATACGATTCACACGTAAACTTGCGTATCGTGGAAAGAACCAAATGTTAAAATATTTATTTTCTGTGTATATTAAATATATTTCAATCGTGTATGTCAAAATATGCTTAAAATAGTATTAATAAATAAAATAATAACTCAATTATCGTGATTAATTTATTTTACCTTGAACATTAAGTAATAAAATATAATGATGTTTCTATGAATATATGTCTGTCATTATTGTTCTTTAGCATTCTAGTTAGATTCTACTAGCCATGTTTTCAGGAGTATTTTTTAATTTTGTTTATTTTTTCCCACACAGGCACTTTCCTAGCTGACTAAATTATGTAGAAGGACCCCGCGAAGAAGGTGGAATTCAAATTTCAAAACAAACCGGAGATTGTTGTTTCACCATGCAAGTGTTCACTGTGAGGTAGCTGATATCTAAATGAGTCTTCTGAGTTTCTAGATTAAGGAGATGGACATGGACGAAAAGCACGAAACGCGTGAGATCGCTGTGGAGGTCCCCAAGCCGCCATCCATTGACGATTTTGTCATTTTGAAACCCATTAGCCGTGGAGCTTTCGGCAAAGTGTACCTTGCACGAAAAAAGTGCAATGAGCGATTGTATGCAATAAAGGTAAGGAAAGCACAGTTGACATTGTCATCGACCTTAGATGAAAAGATAGAAATAGGTAATAACTGTATATAATTGTCTCATCCTAGGCCATGAGGAAAGCAGACATGGTTGACAAGAACATGACCGGGCAAATGAAGGCAGAGAGAGACGCCCTAGCTCTGAGCAAAAGCCCTTTCGTTGTCCATCTGTTTTATTCTCTTCAAACAGCTTCAAAAATCTATCTGGTAATGGGAAACACAGTGTGGATGACAACGATGAACATCTTTTTTAATACTGTATATTGACTGTGTATGTGGTCTGTTATGTCTTAAAGGTAATGGAATACCTTATTGGTGGAGATGTCAAATCCCTGCTTCACATTTATGGATATTTTGACCAGGATATGTCAGTCAAGTATATTTCAGAGGTGGTACTGGCTTTGGATTATCTTCACCGGCATGGCATTATCCATAGGTCTGTCTGTATTTCATGCTACTGGTCAATATGATGCTATCTTAAATGTTTGACATTTTACATAATTCATTGTAGAGACCTAAAGCCTGACAACATGCTTATTTCCAATGAGGGACACATCAAATTAACAGATTTTGGCTTGTCTAAAGTCAAACTTGATAGAGGTAAGTCCTATTCAACTAACAGATTTAATTAATTGCTGTGAACTGTTATCTTGAACAACCTTAATTCTCGAATTCTTGAATTTTACCAGAGCTTAACCTTATGGATATTCTTACCACCCCATCACTGGCAAAACCTAAAAAAGATTATTTCCGAACCCCAGGTCAAATTCTATCTTTGATCAGCCATCTTGGTTTTGTAAGTATATTATTTTTTATGATTTTGTTATTTTCTCATAACCATAAGGTTATGTGTTGTTTCATTCAAAAAGAATACTCCATCTGGGGAAGTAAAGCGCCACTGTAGCACATCTGCCATATCTAGTCCTGTGACCGGTGGCAAAAACAGACAAAAAAACAACTCTGTGGGCTCACCTATGACTGTAGTAACAGATCAGCCATTTTACCCTTCTGCCCACTCTTGGAAAACAAGTATGTGTGACATTTCAACATTTCTGTTCTATTCTATTTTGTCTACATTTTACGCTCTCTCCACAGTGCATAAAAGTGTGTTTCACCCACATAACATTGCTAAGAATCTTACTCCATCACTGCTGAAGACTAGAAAGAGATTTGAGACGATGAGTGCAGGAAGTACCACCGACACTGAAGGAGGGGTCAGTCCAATGTGGGAGTGTGAGGAGGTCAGTGGATGTGTGTGTACCAAAATAGATTACCTGGATACCTCTGGAAAATTTAAATATGTGTATTTGTAGTACATGGCTTTGAATGCACAATACCATCTTCAGGTTTTGTTTACTGTGAGTGTAATATGAACTGTCCTTTTGTGTTTCAGAAAGAGAACATGCACAACAATGAGTTAAAGAGGAAGGTTTCTGAATCCAAACAGCCTGAACATGACCAAGAACCAACCCACACTGAGAGGGAGGAAAAATCTAATGCAGAAAAGCAGACCACCAGTTCAGACAGCAGAGAGCCTAATCCCTCTGTAACTGCATCTTCCATCAAGAGAAGATACTCCCAGCTGGAACGTAGCCCAGAGCAGTTTGAGATCCACGCTAAGAAGAGCACAGCTGACTACAAGAGGTGCTTTGACATTCCAGATGAGAATGCAAAGTTTCACACTGGCTTGACAGGAACTTTCTCCACCATCAACTTGAGTGACTTCATGGCCTGTTCCGAGGATCACATTCCCAACCTCTCTAGTCCCATCACAGTGGCTAAATCTCTGTTTTCTGAACTGGAAGAACCAGCAGAAGATGTGTTTGATGAAGGAGCGAAGGACCTGTCACATTTGAGTTTCACATCTCCTCTTGGACAAGCTAGGGATGTTTGTAGAAGTTTAAGTTTAGACTCTGATGGTTCTATGCATGAAACTTCCCTCATTATCGAAAGCCATGCATTGCATGAGCCAAGCCATAACTCAGCAAAAAGAAATTCAGAATCTCCCGATGAGAATGGAATAAACAAAGAATCCCCGCCAAATAAAACCTCCTGTGATGTCATGAATGAAACGCCGAAATTGGGGCATTTGGGCAACAGTAATTCGCAATCTTCCTTTCTAAACAGACTTCAGGAAGTAGGTCCCAGAGAACTACAGTCTCCCTCTTTCCTCAAACCAAGGAATGTGGTGGCTTTCCGTAGCTACCACAGTTCTATAAATCGGTCTAACATATCGGGAGTATCCAGGTTCAGCATTGGTTCAGTGGATTGTATGGATGCAACTGCTTCCTATCACTCGTTAAATACAACACCAATGCAAAAAAGGCCAAGATCCAGTAGCTCTCTCTGCCAGGTAAACAAACATAAAACCTAATAAAGTGTGTGTAATAAGCCTTATGTAATAGGAAATATGTAATTCTACTCTTGAAAGTTGGAAGATTGCTCCCTCTGAGTTTTTTACTTCGAAACGGCTTTATATAAGGATGTAAAGTACATTCTGTTGCCTTTTTGCCTTTCAGACTCCTCAGCCCATGTCAACATCCCAGACTCCGTTTAGAACTCCCAAGAGTGTTCGGAGGGGCGCCGGTCCAGTAGAAGGAGCTCAGATCTTAGGAACGCCCGACTATCTGGCTCCTGAACTACTGCTGGGTAAACCACATGGTAAGATACACACATCACAGGCCTCCTGTATGTTAATATACAAACATAGTGTGTGGATTTAGTTGTAAGGACATTGTAGAACCCCTGTGACAGGCTTTCTCTTTAAGTTTCAGGAAGGTCTCGCAGTGGTAAGTTAAAACATGGCTATGTATGCAGGCAGGCTTGCATGAGCCCCAAGCAGCTTATGTTGTGGGAATGAGCTGATTCCTCTTCATTTCCATATTTCAGTGTCTTGAACTGGTGAATTAACTGTGGATTTGATCAGTGGGAATGGGCGAGAGAGTGTGATTGAAATGGGTGCTAACTTTACCCGAACAATGTTATTAAGAGCAGGAAGATTTCATTGTGATTTGTGGGAGGAACAAAAACAGATCTTTCTGTTCTTTTGTATATTTGGATTGCTATATTTGAATGTAAAGTTAGCATGTCATCATCTATCAAATGATAATGAGCCTAAGCTAATATCATCTCATATAACACGAACAGCTTTTGGAGGTGATTGTTTCCATGTTGTTATATGAGAGCATTTGACTTCATTATACTGTCAAAGAGTTGTTTTTTGCAGTTTTTGTATAGTGAAAGGTTTAACATGTTGGTGCCAGGTTTTGCAGATTATTTATTTTTGTTATGTTACTTGCTATAAGTAGCCTAGCCAGTTCATTTTAGGATGGAAATCTCCAAGTCCAACATGAATTCTGCTTCATGATTTTGCTCAAATTTACCCTTAGCTACCATAATACATTACTCAAAAAGAAGCTTCTTACCCTTATCATTTGCAATATAAGTAATGTTATGTTTGGTCATAACTGGGGGAAAAAGTGTCCCTAGTAGTGAGTGACCCTTTCTTGTTAAATGATATACCAGTATAATTGCTAACTGCTAACTTAACATGAATCTGTAAACTCCCCCATTCTCTCTAACCACCCCTGCTTCTGCCACAGCCATACATAGTGCACACTCTAACAGACAGTAGTACTTCATGTGATGTTGTGTTGTACATTACTGACTGCTCTTTCCTCTGCAGACTGCATGGTGGACTGGTGGGCTCTGGGGGTGTGTCTTTTCGAGTTCCTCACAGGTGTGCCCCCCTTCAACGATGAGACACCTCAGCTTGTCTTCCAGAATATTCTCAACAGAGGTATGTTTGGATCGATGAAGGATTGTTAAACATCTACTTATAGCTATATAAAATGTTGTAACTAAGCACATTACTGTTCATGAACAGATATTCCCTGGCCAGAGGAAGAGGAGGCACTGTCTTCCAATGCAAGAAATGCTATTGAAATCTTACTCACCATGGATATGACCAAGAGGGCTGGTATGAAAGGTGAGAACTTTTTTCTTTTCTTTTCTGTTTTTATATTGAAAAGTCTATTTAATAGTATTTCAAGGAGAATCACACTTTAATTTTAAGTTACTAAAATGTTTTGCCACCTTCTAGGCTAGTCCTTGTTTAGACTTGACCTGATGCAGTCCAAGTATTTAAGGTGGCATGCACAGTCTTAGAATAAATGAACTGATTGTGTAACAGAGTAGCATCCTTTGCCATTTGAAATTGCATATTTGTTTTGTCTCCAGAGCTGAAGAGCCACCCACTGTTTGAGGATATGGACTGGGACAACCTGCAGAACCAGCCCATGCCCTTCATTCCTCAGCCTGAAGATGAGACGGACACCTCCTACTTCGATGCAAGGAACAGCGCTCAACATATTGCTGTGTCTGGCTTTAGTCTATAGTTGCAGCATCTTGCTTTTTAACAACTTTACCTCTGAAATGTTCATAGTAACATTTTCTCTTCTATTGTGCAATCACTGATTTTAGCAGGTTTGCTTTTGGCAAAATGAATGTACAAAAATATTTAATATTATCTGAATATTTTCACCATGTTTGGCTAATTAGATGTTGTATACTAGCTCTTATTTAGTATGTATGTTAGTATGTAGTATGTTAGTGCTGCCATGGATATCTTTAAAAAAACGTATGTGGCATTTCTGCCAACGGTTTTTCCTTCTGTCTGCACTGCTACGTTCCCCTGCTTCTAATACTGTGGGTGGGCTGGCCTGCTTCTATTTCTCTCAGGGGTCCTGCTGAAATATTCTATTAATATTAATTAATTATTATTAATTAATTAATATTTTATGTAAATCTGCTAATTGTTTTAAAATAGAATTGTGTACTTTGTATGTTGATGAAATTGTTTGGTCTTTTAATTATTGTGTGTGTGTCATATTAATGTTTTTCCTGTTTTGTGTTTATAACACTAGTTTTAAATAATTTTGTGATTCTAGTTCTGTTTTACTCACATAAATTTCACCAAACTGCAAATAAATTGTTTGATTTGACGATACTGTTGTTTATTCCCATGTGTACAGAGCTTGTATGCTCCCTTTTCCTTTATTGGGAAGCTGCACATTTTACACTGTTGTTCAAAAAACAAAACTGGCCATCATCAAGGACAGCCCCAATTTAAATCTCCTACCTAAAGAGGGTTTCTCTACAATACCACATTCCCTAACATATCTTGCATTTATTCTGTTGATGTTTGTACTGCTGGAACATTCCTTGAAAAACCATGCATTCTTATTTCTTTTCAAGCATAGCTGAACTGGCTAAGAGTTAATCAATGCAAGAAAATAAGAAATAAAACTGCTGAGCCACTATAGCTAACAGAAGACTCACACAAAAAAATGTCTTATTTTTGAAAACTTTAATAGGTTTGGATTATCACATGCAGACACCACTCTATCCACAGGCAGAGAGGTGAGAAAGCCTTCTCAGTAAAAAGGTAAACTATTATATTCAAACATAATGGCTCTGGAAAGATTAGTGCAGATGCAACCTCTGTCAATAAGATCATTATTACATTAGTAGCACACGGGAATGCAATGAAAATATTGCATTTCATTGATCTAAATAAATTGTACAGCTATGGTATACAATAATAAGTATAGAGCTCTGCAAACAATTGGTATCACTACAGTCACTCTCGTTTTCACAATACACTCTTACAGTAATGATCACACATGATTTATACATAAAATATCAGTGATTTCAGTTAATTGAGATTGAGACACGTTCCTCAATTGGCTCACTAGGTAGGACAAGTGTTTATTTGGTCCTGCTACACTTACACTGTATTGTGAAATCATAATGCCAAATACAGGCCAGGTGCAGTGCCAGAAAAAGGGAGGCCTTATGAATGCCCACACCCACTCAACCCACTATGATTTTTGCTTATTTTTACTTAGGACATCCAATCTCATAAAACTTTTCAAATAGCAATCTCTTAATGTTCAAAATAAGACTACAAATATAAAAATTCCACTTAAGGTCTTATTAAAACACTTCAGGAACTAACTAAATTTGTTTAGTGAGGCAAATGTGAGTAATGAGTAATATGTGTGATAGCCGCTTTTATTTAACGTGCCAATGCTTAATTACTTGATGCACCTGAACATCTTCTAGCCCCCCCTATTTGTACCAATTTGGCGGTTCTATAAAATGCATGTAGACTGGGACAAGAGCAAAGCACCCCCATGGAAGATCTTAGCCCCCCTCCTGGAGCTGCCCTTGACTGCACCTTGTGATGTTGAGGCACTTTTCTCCATTTTAAAAACACTGGATTAGCTGACCAACAGAATGATGACAGGTAATAGTAATGGACACACACCCTAATCCATATAGTACTTTTCATACGCGTAGCTGGCATTGCCTTCATAGTAACTGTCTCTAAAAGCAATAAATATTGAATACAATTTTGAAATTATTTAAACAGACGGGACACATTATTACATTCATTCCTCTCGTCTACTCTACAGTTATTTATTTAGCAGCATTGCATTGCATTGCTAGTGGAAACAGTATGATATAATGAAAATTAACTATATCAAGCATAACAAAAATGTTTTTCTTGTGCAACGAAGCCATAGAAAATTAACTGGAAAGCTACTGCAGTTATTGACTAACTGTTAACCTTTAAACACTGCAATTTCAACAGTGGCGTTATCTCGGAAAAGGTTGTCCTGCTCCTTCCAATTCAACATCCATAGAACAGACTTTAAAAAATATGCTCCTGGTGCCCTCTCCTTAGTGCAAAAGCAGATCACAGGTTGGGAGTTTTAGCCACTTACAACCCATCTGGACATTTATATGAAACTTTAACACAGCAGGTTTCAGTTGATCCTTCTGGAACAGAGAATTTGTATTATGAATTTATTAAAGAAATGATTCATGCGTATATGGTCACTGCCAATAGCTTACCTCCTCCTTCTGTGTAAGATTACGCGCAAGAGCCACTGCACGACGAAAGGCCAGATCACAGCGAAAGCCAGACTTGTGGGAGAAATATCAAAAGGCCACCAGGACGGTTTCTAGAAAGAAAAAAAAGATGTAATTCATATAAATAAATATGAAGGTTATTTGATTGCGTATTTGATTATTAAAGTGAGAGTTACCCGATTCCTCTTGTTGACTGGGGTTGAAGGCAAAGTGGGAGACAAAGCCATTGAACGGGCCTGTTGAATAAGCAAATTTTAAGATGGTGAATAATAGGAATAATATATAAATTGTACAGAAATCTATCTATAAATCTATTTTGGTAGGTGGGATAGATGTTTGACCTCCATCTTTCCAATGTCTATTATTATAGGTGACCCCAAGTTAAATTATTTAATTCATATTTTAATAAAGATTGGTGTAAAAGACTAACCTGGGATGCAGTCAAGGCCTCCAGTGTGTGCAGCCTCTCCAGAACGCTCTGCATATCCTCCTGTAATCTGGCCAATGCTACAACAATCTGCTCGTTCAGATTGATGCCTGGAGTTCCTGGTCCTCCCCAGTGTCCCCCTGCTCCATCACCACTGCTGTGCGTAGGTACTACTGGCCCAGAACCTGGTCCATGTGACCCATAACCTACAAAAAAAATAAAAAAAATAAATAAATAAACATCTTTACTATCAAAATAAAACAGAAAATACCAGGGGGGTTTAGGAGGGGGTCTTTAAGTCATTAAGACATATTTAGATCTTAGCAAGCATATTTTTTAAGTGTTAACTAAGTGTTAAGTGTTTTTATTTTTGAAAAATGACTACGTGGCCACAGAGTAGTGGGTGACGATAGGGGTTAAGTGAAAACAGACACTGAATGCAGGACAATACAGGAGTACTCAAATATACATGACTATGGAACACCTTTAAAACATGGTTAAAAGCTGCTAAAAGTCCATTTTACATATGTCCCCTTTAAATCATACCTGATGGTTGTCTGGTCATTGAACTGCCGGACATCTCCCCTCCGATACGAGGTCTTTGCCTGGTCCCTGTAGGCTTCCCATCCTCTCCTCCGCACTGAACACCTTGTGCGTCTACATTGTCCTGCACGGGCCCCGCTAAGTGATGACTGTGGCTCTCCTCCTCTTCCAGGTCATCAATAGAACGGTTGTGCTCAGAGTTCTATGGGTAACGTACATATAGTGACGTGAAATGGACAGGTAATTGGCAAGTATTGGTTTTAGGATATGCTTACCTCTTCTTGGCCAAATTGGTCAATAGAGTCACAGTAGACCTCACTGTCGGAGTCACTGGCAATGTGATTAGGGGCTGCAGCATCTATTTCAATAAAGTAAATACAGTTTGCACAAATTGAATGCTGCATTAAAACCAGGTTAAAACCTTTGGAACTTTGTGATGCCTCTCGTCGATCTATATATTTCTCTCGACAGGGTTTTGCTCCCAATGCTATTATACGATGAAATACCCAATTAACTCCATTGCTTTGTCCCAAGATGATCTCAATAATTCCCAAAGCCCAAACAATAACAATAGCTGAATGTCCTTGCATAACCTAGAAGTCACATGGGCTGCAGTGGGACGATATTGTGGGAGAGGTATGGAGACCAACCCATCAGCTCATCTATAAATAGTCACTGAATTGATGACAGTCATACCTGCATGGTGTCCGTTTAGCACAGGCTCTAATGCCTCCTGGGAGTCCTCACTGTTCAGAGCAGCTCTAGAATGGTTCCCATTGGTGAGGTGAGTGCCACCATTAGGCACTTTACCATTTGCCAGATGTCTTCGAGCTGAGCCTTTCTTCTTTGGTGATCTTCTCTCTGAGAACAAATAATAAGTATGTAAAATGTGTTGTAAGTTTGTGAAAATGTTTGATGTTTAATAAATATATAGAAGTTATTTGTCTTACAACTTTTTGCATGTTTTCAAACCCATGATGATTACATTTACATGGCCAGTAAAAATTTGATAAGCAGAATAAACAGATAACCTAACATTTAGAACTGATTTGAGGTGTGTTTACATCCACAAGAGAAGTCTGATAATCAAAAAATATGGTGACTTGTCAGTGGACAGAGAAACTACAATTGATTTTAAAACAATTCTTTAAATCTTTAAAAATGTCTCTTTCATTTCTGTCTTTTTTTTGCACAATTTTCCTTGTTTCCTTTCCAGGTGTGAACAATCAGAGAGAATTTGTATGTAACTGTTAAACAATTCAATCATTTGAAATAAGATAATGATCAGACTTTGGTGTGCATGTAAACATAGCCACACTCAGAGCTAGGACGTACCTTTCTTGTTCTCTTGTAACACTTGCTCATCATCTTCCTCCACCTCCTCCTGCAGCTCCTCATCTGACACCTCTCGCATATGAGACATGAGCCGGGGTTTGGGCTCCAGAGAGCCATTCAGTTCCATGCTCCTCACAATGTCCTTTGCCACACTCTTGGTCTGCACTGAATTCATCATTGTCCCGAAGCCTGCACAACAGAGAGGCCATTGTAAGCGCTTTATGTAAGTGAAATACTCAAAGGTTTGGATAAAATGTATATAGTTTGCAACATTATGTGGTTGTAAATATAGTTAAATGACTACAGAAAGGACTTGATGATGTCATTTTGAAATTGGAAAGGAAAACATTTACAAAGTTACTAAGTACGATTTTATAAAAAGACTCCTGTACTATATTGCACATTCAACTACACAAAGCCAGTAAAAATGGAAGGACTGGGATAAAGGTTGGAGAAAGAGCGAGAGAGTTACATTTTTACTACATGGACAAAGTCTAATTCTCACTAATCATTTGAACAAGATCACTAAACACTCTGAGTGATATTACACATTTACTTGCCTTCCAGTTGCCTAGCAAACTTTGTCAAACGGGCTGAGCATGCCAAAAGTACATTTTAAAAGAAAAGGTTAAGGGTCACAGGAGGGTAAGAGACAGAGTCCAATGAGGGACAGACAAACACCTGCACTAATGTCCGATATCTGTGTGATCTTCTTCTTCTCGTCCACCAGCTCATAGAAGGGCCCCAGCACCCGCAGCAGCTCCTCTACCTCTCCGGTCATGGGCATGCCCTCCAGGATCTGCAACCACAGTAGACCAGCATGATCCAACAAAGGATTACCCAAACTAAATATAATACATAGTCTCTGGGCAAAGGGCAACTATTGGTATTTTAGTAGTGAGTGTGTATCCCTAACAAATACATTTATAATGCATATCATTAAACATAAAAATAATGAATCCATGTTTCCTCAGAGTGCAAACAAGATAAGAGTATTGTGGCAATAGAGGTTTTATATTAAAGGCCCGATCTTTTCCGCATGTATTTAAGTCAACTTTGGCTTACCTCAGCATAAACACATTGTATAAGTAGCTCTTGCCCGCCAAGTGCTATCTAGATGAAGTGTTTTATTGTCTGATAATCAGGAAGTGCAGAGTTAGTATGCTAGTTGACAGCAAAACTGCTCTGGCCTCTGAAATTTGTGGAAACCGCTTATATAATCTCATTATATAATTCATTATATAAACTCATTGTGATGAATAATTAGGATGTTTGTAATGCCTAAGGTCACTGAAGAATACCTTTGTTCCACTGCAAACCGTTTAAAATGAATTAGTTCTGTAAAGTCTATCAGGCATAGCAGATTTAAAATATTATAGACACGTTATATTTTTTATATTTAAAACATTATATATTAAAATACAGCATACCAACTTCATTTCATCCACATACGCAGCCATTGCTTTCTCTTTGGACATATCCCCAAGAGAGTTCCATGCGTCCCTAAACCAAAACAAAATGATGTGATGTTTACACTTCAAGTACAAATACAAAATTTGCAACACTTTGGGCCACCTCAGGTAACTGTGTCCATTAGGTAACAGTTTACTCAGGGTTAGGATGATCTTCTCAGTGGTATAAAACTACTAAACAGCAAAATAAAATGAGATTGTAATAATAATTTACACTAGCAAAATAAACAGTTTAACTAGGATGACTTGGAGCCTTGGTAATGAGTTTAGCGTTTCACAGTCCAGAGATCACCTAACACAACCTGATCCTTAACACAGGGAGGAATGCTAACCCTAAAGAGGGAACTACATATATTGCACAATGTCCATAGGTTAAATACGCTGTTGTTTTGGGACAAATGGGTACTCTATATTTTGTTATTATACAGTAATAAGTAGTGGCATTATTACCATTTAGCTTTGCCAACTGCATCCCAAAACCCAGGCCGTGGTACATTGCATGGTCCCACCGTGGCTTGTTTGTAAAACTTATAGAATTTCAGCATCATATCATTGGAAGGTTGAAAAGGGCCTAAGAAGAAAGGAAAAGGTTACAACAATTACAACAGTATAACAAATGATACATCTATTATCAAATTATTACATGGCCACTTGTATTTGTATCTGACTATGACATTTCTCTGAATAAAAGTCCAGTCTGGGAGCGGCTCTGGGCATCACTGAACGATCATTGTTCCTTCTGTGTTGTCCCAATGACAACTCTTTGACCCAGACCTTCATTTCACTTTCATTCAACGGTTAAACTATGTTTCCATAACAGATTATGTTGAAGTTTACATACTTGATTTGACTATTTGTATTATTGATAGTACTATCATTTGAATAGTATTGTGCTCCCTTAAAAACCAAAACTACAATACTGTTTTTTTGTATTAAATATATACTCCATAAATTCTAACCTAGACGTAAAGTGACCGCACAACATTTATTCGCTATATCATTAAGAAAATTTGACTTGGTCCACAGTACAGGAATGACAATGAAAATAAATTAAGTATTGCACTGTTGTTTAGCCATATCTAAAGCGTGATGTTTATCATAACATTACGTTTTTTAATCATAACATCCTCATTTATGACAGGATGTTAACCATAAATTAAGTTAGCATACTGCCCTTGCGTCTCAACCACGAGTGCATGGGAAAGTCCAGGCTACACACTTTGTTAAGTAGATTAGTGTTATTAAGTCGCATAAGATCTCAGGCAGGCAGACCAACCAAGCTTTCGCAATGGCAACCGTAGACAGCTAGGGCTTTATACGTGAATGCGATCTAGACTGGTCAATAAAGACAACATCGTTCGTTTACTTGGTTTACTTACCATCCGGGGGTAGGCTTTTGATGACTCTGACGGCAGCCTCAAACCTCACCTGAGTCAAACCACTGTCCTCCTCCATATTACTAACACTCTCCACCTCCATTGTCAAGTCGATGCTTTCTTCAACAGCAGTAGCATGTAAATAAAGAGAGCCGCTGAAACAAATGGTAATAAAAGCGTGATTATTTGGCCCAAATGATGGTAGTCAAACCTCAGCCATGATACTAACTAAACCAGCTAACTAATGAGGCTAAAGTGCATCATAACAACAGCGTTATCACTCAGTAACCTGTGCACCACCAATAGCAAGAAGAGGCTGTGCAATTAGGGCATTAGCAGCTACACTTTCTGTACGACAGGCTTTTAAACAACGCAGATTGCACATAACATGCGGTTTCTGAATACAACATGTGGAGGGGATTTAAATCGAGCTGTCACTTACCGTAATTTCGCTGCTTTAAGTGTTTGTCAGAAGGCGACCTGTCTCGAGCTTAGGGAGAGACGCCATGAACAGTGTAATCAAGCAGAAAGCAAAGCACTCTGGGAGATGAAGTTCCACTCGAAGTGCATTCAAGCTAGGAGGCAGTGCTTGCTTATTTTCTTAACTTTGGATATAATTGGGCGCAGTTTTGTGTTGTTGACTTACATGAATGTGAAATGTTAATTCATATTGTGTTTTTGAGGAAAAACACATAATTTAGTAAAATAATTTTAACTAATAAAATTGGTGTTAAATCTTGTCCATGAAACTACAAGTCCCATCACTCTCCTGCGTTGAAATCCCTTGCCCCTCCCCTCTCCCTTCTCAGATGGAAGAATAAGATCGTAGAAAGAACAAGCAGGACATCTCACTCCGATATTTAACGAACTACCGATTAGTTTATATATAAGCTGTGACAAATGGAAGATGGCACAGATCTATTAAATTTGTCTGCACAATTGAGCATACGTTCCATATAAGAATTATATATATATATATATATATAATAAAACAATACTTCAATTCTCTAAATGTGTGTAAAAGAGGGTGTACATGAATTTCTGCTGGCATGTCTAACTTTGAGTTACAAATAGTCTTAGTGACCCCTCTTCACTGCCACAGGCGATCTCGGGGCGGTGCATGCGCCGCCGCCAGGACAGGATTCCCACAATAGCGAGCGAAAGAGTTTTGTTTTTTTCGAAGGCGGAGAGCTCGCTGGGCTGGTGGCTGCTTCAATCAAAGAGAAGGCAGAGGGAAGGGAGGCTCTGCGGGGAGATGTAAGATGGCAGAGCTACAAATGTTGTTAGAGGAAGAGATTCCGGCCGGGAAAAGAGCGCTTGTGGAGAGTTACCAGAACCTCACTAGAGTAGCGGACTACTGCGAGAACAATTATGTCCAGGTAAGTGAGTGTCCACCAAGCTATCTCTGACCCGCTGTCGCCTTTTGTCGCCCATGGACTGATTGCTTGGGACAGGAAATGTGGATAAAGAAACTGGAGTCCGCCCAAAGCTCAGGGAAGGAATTCGCGTTTAGCGGCTTTTCCCAACAACAGCGCGGGGCGAAGCACTGCACTGCTTGGATCTCTTCATTAGACGTATGATCACAATCATTTCGTTTACATTGAGGGTGTGTCTACTTTTTATTAGTACCTTGCGTTGGTTCAAACTGCCACTCTCACTGCTGATAGGGAGGCCTGTGTGTTTTGTCCCGAAGGTTTCTTTTGCGGTCTCCATTTCATCATTGTGATAAAAGTTGTTGTTCAGCCGCATGTTACGCAGAGAAAATATGCAGTGAAAACTAACCTGTACTTTAAAATATGAACTGTTTGAGAGAGAACAGTCCATGATTGTTTGTGAGGTCATGAAATAATCCAAATAATACTACAGTTTAAGTGCCCCTTTGGCTAATACAGCAACATTGCAGTGTGGGGGCTGACTAGTTGTAAGCCACATTAAATTGCATTACGCACCCCATTAAGTATGTCAGCACGTTTCAGACATCATTGTCACCAGTGTCCCCTCACTTTAAACTTTTTCTTGTGAATAAGATTGGTTGTGTTGGTTTAGGGATTGACACCTACACTTGTATTGTCTTGATTATTGTTTCGTGATCGCCATTATATGTCAGTGCTATATCTAAATGCTCCTGCAGGCATGCGGGCAGGATGATTTTGGACTAGCAATGACTGATAACATTTTTTTAATACATTGACGGTAATTTTGCACAGAGTTTTTCTAAAGGAAAAGTTAAAGTCAGTACATATAACCTCATTTTGCATAGCTTGCCTTAGCAGTTGCCAAGGTGCGATACAACACACTATCATCTTCTAGTTGCCATCATCTGCTTTGTAGTTACTTCATTATAGCCATTATTTTCCTCTTTGGTTGGAACTTTCTTAGTTAAAATATATTTTCATTCTCCACTTGTTTTAATTCTAGATCTACTGTTTTGTCAGTTCAAGACCTCTCTCCCCAGGGAATAATATATATAAAAAAATGTCATGTTATGCTATATTAACTAGACAGTAATAGTTCTTCTAATGTTAGGTTTGCATTTATTATTTTATGATTTAGTCTTTCCACATAAAGTGTCTTGTTGTGGGAACAGAGTAAGTTCCCATGACATACTTATCTCTCTTTGGGCTTGTTTGGAACTGGCTCTCACCATTTGTTTTGAAGTTGTGTATTTAAAAAAAGCAAGAAAGAAAAAAGAAAAGAGAAAACATAATTACGGCTCTCCTGATGCAAGCGTTGCTCGTATATTGGTCACTATAACTGCAGGAGAACCACAGATGATGTAGTACAGAAGGTAACGGCTGACATAACTCTATTGGTGAAAATGAGCTCCCCAGGCCAGCAGAGGAACACAGCCCACCACCATCTCCAGAGCGGCGGGTGTGTCCATTCCAGCTGTACTCCCCCAGGACTGCCTATAATTAGGCCCGAGCCCCGACTGGGCGTAGGGCCTATTGCTTCCGCTCAGCGGAGCGAATGGGAAGGGACGTGCGCATGTCCGAATCCAAGACGACATGCAACTATGTCCACGGTCGCCCCCGGCACGAACAGCAGTATCCCAGTAACCCACGCCCAAGGCCTGGCTCATATTTACTACTGCTAAAATGAATGGAAGTCAATGGAAGGCGATGGGTGACCTCGACGAGATGGCGAATGACGAGCGCGTCAGTGCCCGTCACTCACCAATGACCCCACGGTGACGTGGGGAAGGTCGAGAGCTTTCAAAAAACGTATAATATGTTGTTCTAATGTTTTCGGATATATTGTTTTTGCTCGAATTATTATTATTATTATTATTATTATTATTATTATTATTATTCTTCTGCTCTTTGAGCTCTAATTTGACCCCCTAAACACGTTCAAAAACTCACCAAACTTTGCCCAAAATTCAGAAGTGGTGAAAAATTCGATAAAATATAGGTTTCGTGCACGGGCATAAAAAAATGGCGACACAGCGCCACCTCGAAAAGTCAAAATACATTGCGCCTATGGGAGACGTCCCGACGTCAACTTTGTCGTAGAGCACGAAATTCGGTACACACATTCGTCCTGTCAAGACAAACAAAAAATGTTATTATGGCCACGCCCCCTGACAAACCAGAAGGCGGCCATCTTGGATTGAAATTTGAGTCCGCGTTTTCGCTGACGTTGTGTTTGAACGAACTCCTCTGAAGGTGCTTCACCCACAGGACTGAAAATCACCGTACATCATCTAGACAAGTGGAACATCTCAAATTAGCTGATTTTTTTTGATAACTGTCACGGTTTTCGTGCGGCGAAGCCGCAAAATTTGGTCAAACTTTTGGCGAATTTCAAGGTGACATTATTTGCTCCTGTTCCCACAGACTTAGTCCGATCGTGTTGAAATTTGAATCACTAATGTGTGATCTCAGTCTGAATATAATACACTATAAAACATATGAAAAAACACTATAGCGCCCCCTACCATAGACTTGAAAGTCAACATTATCAGATCTGCACCAAATTTGGGAATTACATTCTATGCATAATTACGAGCAAAAAAGTATATTATGGACATGGCGAATTTTTCACTGTTGGCCAGCAGAGGCGCTAAAACTCCTCCCAAAAATAGAAAAAAATATATTACACGCACATGCTTAGTCCCATCATGCTGAAATTTGAATCACTAATGTGTGATCTCAGTCCGAATATAATACACTATAAAACATATGAAAAGTGAACACTATAGCGCCCCCTACCATAGACATGAAACGTCAACATAGTCAGATCTGCACCAAATTTGGGAATTAAATTCTATGCATGATTACGAGCAAAAAATTATATTATGGACATGATACCATTTTCACTGTTGGCCAGCAGGGGTGCAAAGACTCAAAAATTTGGCTCCTATGGGATACGTCCCGGTCAACTTTGTCATAGAGCCATGAAATTCGCTACATACATTTGTCATGTCAAGACAAACAAAAAATGTTATTATGGCCACGCCCCCTGACAAACCAGAAGGCGGCCATCTTGGATTGAAGTTTCAGTCCGCATTTTGGTTCACATTGCGTTTGAACGAACTCCTCTGAAGGCGCTTCACCCACAGGGCTGAAAATCACCGTACATCATCTAGAGAAGTGGAACATCTAAAGTTAGCTGATTTTTTTTGATAACTGTCACGGTTTACGTTCGGCGAAGCTGCAAAATTTGGTCAAAGTTTTGGCGAATTTCAAGGTGACATTATTTGCTCCTGTTCACACATACTTAGTCCGATCATGTTGAAATTTGAATCACTAATGTGTGATCTCAGTCTGAATATAATACACTATAAAACATATGAAAAAACACTATAGCGCCCCCTACCATAGACATGAAACCTCAACATTGCCGGATCTGCACCAAATTTGGGAATTAAATTCTATTAATGACTAGAAGAAAAAACATATATTGCTGACATGGGAATTTTTCAAGGTTGGCCAGCAGGGGGTGCAAAGAACATCTAAAGGCGTACTATCTCATTTTGCCATTTGCAGGCACAGAGTTTGCGGACACAGCGTTTACGGTATGGTGTTGGCTGGGCACACTATTTGCGGGCACGGCGTTCGCGGGCGCGGCGTTCGCGGGCGCGGCGTTCGCGGGCGCGGCGGGCGCGGCGGGCGAGGGCCGTTCGACGCCGCTTGCGGCTTTAATTTAGTTTTCCTCCTCCTTGTCCTCAGATGATATTTAAATGCAAGGCAGACTGTTCCACTACTGTTTCTAAATCCAATGTACAATGCAGTTTAAAAAAAACAAAAAAACAATCAAGCCTTTCCCTATACATTTTGTGCATTAATTGTTAGATTAGTATTTTTGGCATAACATCACTTTACATTCAAAACATATATAGAAATAAAACACCATAACCTTAACTAGCACTAGCATAGTTTTATTTGGACTATGTAAAGAGCACATGTCTGTGAAATAAACACTGTGATAAATAGTGCTGTTTGAAATGCATATTTTGAAATAAACTAAACAAAAGTTTCTAGTTCTCTGAACTTAGGGCATCGCATTGTCATATAGGCTAGTAATTTGAGGCAGTTCCAAGCAAAACTATGACAAGTATTGTGGTATCGATCCAATGCCGATACGATTACTGTACTTTAGTTTGCATTGACACTTCATTGAAACCATGGATGTGGGTGTTTGCTGCAGCTGTTCTAATCAGCAAAACTGAAGAGGAAGAGTGTGCTCATGGAACTTCAAAAAACACTTTATAATCCTAGCAATCCAAAAAAAGTGCGAGGATGACATGATTGGACCTTAAATAAACTAAAATATAAACAGTTAGGGATGTAATGATATCCAAGTCTCATGATACAATATCATCACGGTATGAACCTCACGGTACGATATTTCCTGCGATATCATGGGAAAGCTCATGATATGGTGGGGAGTCTCACGATTAGGGATGTAACAATATCCAAATCTCTTATATATATATATATATATATATACATCTCATGGTACGATATTTATTGCAATATTTTATGGAGGCTAATACTACTACTTTTTCCTCTTAAAATGCCTTGACAAGACATAATCCAAAGAACTAAGACTTAAAAGTGCTTAGAACTGTTATTTCATCATATAGTTTGCACTGAAATGGAGCAAAGGATCATGGTCTATGTAGTTGCCTCAGTCTTTTTTTTTTTTTAGCTATTGCTGCACCATGACTCTTAATTTAAGCAAAGAGACTTGTAATTCGATGTATTCTGATGATCCACGATATTATTGTGAGAACTTTGACAATACGATATTACGATATTTCGGTTATTGTTACATCCCTATAAACAATATATTTTAAGAACTGATAAAACTTTGATATTGTTAAAAATATAGAACTGTTATTTCTTCATGTAATCTGCACTGGAACAGAGCA